AAGAATTTAAAAGCTTGCTTTTTCCATTTTTTAAGTAACCCCTTAAATAAATTTTGAGGGTTTTAACAATGGTTTCCTAAACTTTTTCACATGTAAAAATGAGACCTGTCTAAAAATATAAATATCATATAACTATTTCACACCTTTGGCTTAATATGCTTTTTTTCATGACTATACGAACTATTACAGTATATAAGGTACAAAAATACTAGTATTTAGTACATAGTATTCAGGAAAGAAATTCTCTCCTACCAGTGACTTGGCATACTAAACCTTGGACACATATAATCTGTTTAATCAATATATTAAATTATTATACCACAGAGCTATAAATTTAAAACACCATGACTTTCACCTGAGACTTGGCATGCTTTAACTCATAAAAGGTGAGTCCTCCATTCCTGGCTCCTACACATATCCTCCTGGAGTTGGTGTCATAGCTAACAATACAGAACTTACAGATAGGAGCAAACACCTCCTGGAGACCCTTGGTCTTCACTGCAGTGTGGTCTAGACAGTGAACTGTGATGTCCATGGCCTGGGAAATATACAAAATTAAATAGGCCTTTAAAATTATAAATAAATAAATTATTAAATAAACAACGAATGTGAACAAATTCAAACAGGATTTTTGAACAAATGAATAGATAAAAGAATACATAAATTAAAATACAAATTTTCTAATGAATCAGTTTCTGTATTATTAACTTATGTCCTTTATTAAAAATTGGAAAATTAATTCAAATGTGATTGCAGATTTTAGCCACTAATTCATGAATTCAAAGTCAACATCTAATTTCACCATGTTGATATAGTACAAGCTATTCCTTACCTCTACCATCAACTCTGCCACATCATTAGGCAACTTATCAATCAAGTGTTCAATAACTCTCATGATCTCCGACTTCCCTCGTACTAGCACCGACGTATGGAGTGAAGGACTCTGGGATTGTGCATTCTGAGCCATGGCGTTGTATCGTGCCACCTCCTTTGCCATGGTGATGATGAACGCAGGTGGTCGAGCTGTCGCAATAAGTGCGAGTGAATGACGTGCTGTTCTGCATGCGTCTGCTTGTGAGCTGAGAGGCAGACCAAATGTCATGCTGGAATAGAGAGGATAGCAGTCATTTTATGGGACAAAGGAGACTGTAGCAATCCAGATACAGCACAAAGAGAATGCATCCCAAGATTCAGAATGAAGTGGTATCTGACCTCTATTATTATCATCATACCTTGAGCTGAAAACAACAGAGACATAGACTGCATTCCCACAGATTTTTAGATCAATCTATCCCATGAGGAGTCTCACTAGATTACTGTCAGCTTAGCCGGCTTAAATGTCTGTCCCGCCTACTAAAAGCTGTAAGGGGGTAATTAACTTTCGTGCGCACCCAGCTGAAAGCAATTTAGCATGAACCCCCAGGGAGTTAGGTCAATCCAGTAACACCCTGAGCTTTTAGAGGGTACTGGAAATGGCAGATGATACAATTAAATTCAGATAAACTCATACATAAATTTAGAGCATAATATTAATTAGACGTACATGTAGTAGTACATTTATTACTATAAACTACACATATCAAAAATATTTCCTTAAAAATCAATCAAATTTTACCTGGGCACCAGCTTGTCCCCATCCACACACAATTCCAACAAACCCAGTAACACAGCTGACACATCTAAATATGGCTGCCACACTGTGAAACCGCGTCCAATCAAATCTATGGCAGCTCTCCTGATTGGTGTGTTTGCTGGCAGCTGAGGACTGGAGGGTTGCAGAAGGAGATAGGTCAGGGCATTACCTGGAAGAAGGTCATGGGAAATGAGCATGAATAAGTCTGATTGGGCATTGCCAGAAAATAGAGTGAAAGTGAGCATACATATGTAGCTGAATATGGTTGGACATTACCTGGAAACCAGATCAACAAATCTATAACCTGACACTACACTTAGACTTATGTGCAGTTTATTAGTGCCATTTTCACTCTCATTTCAATATGTGTTAGTGTCAAGCAAAACACCTTTTTTTACAGGGATTGGGGCTTCATGTATTACAGGTGTTACAGTGACCTTACAGTGGCCTACATCTGAGAACCAATTTGAAGAAAAATTTGACTGCATAACAAAGCTGATGAAATTCTTGGCTACAAATATCAAGTTATATCTGCCCAAGTCAATTGTAAATGCGCCTCAAAAAGTCTCCCCTCTTACTTGTCCTCCTGGCCAGAGCCTGGTTAATACTGAACCCCTCCACCACCCCCTTCTGCTGGTCTCCTCCTCGTGACGACACGATCTCCTGACCAAACTCGGCACCAATGACCCCCAGCATCACAATGGCGGTGGCCTGCTTACGACGTGTCTCGTAGGAGTTGTCCTGAATCTTCTCCTGTACCTCTGGAGAAATATAAAAAATAACATCGCATTATATACTCAGCTAGGNCCCAATTAGTCTATTCTTAAAATAAGTGTGCCGTCGCCTTCGAACAGTATATCAATTAAATGAATATAAGATGTGCTAGAAGACCCCCAAATGAACCATATTTAACGCGTTGTACAGATTGAACAGTTATATTACTGTGTGGTGTTGCGGATTGTGCGGTTGTAAACAAGGTGAACGCCGACATATTGTTTAGTTAATTTACACGTCTAAATTCAATGATGACGCAGATTGCTGAGATCTCTTGTTTCCATTCCACTTTAAAATGTACCACTCACAAAGTAAATTGACAAACGATTTAATTCACATTATTTTTTTTAGTTAACCACGGTAAGGTCATGTCTTGATGGAATGTCATACGGGTACCTGCGAGAAATCTGTGAACGATGGTTCAGTTGAATTTAACATTTATCAACTCTTTTCATGATAAGGATGTCTGTTTTGATCTTATATAAACCATAAGTGGGGTCATCTAAAACGAGGTTGGCTGTTATTTCAAGCATAAAAGCCACTTATTTTTATTAAACAATGTTTACACGTGCACGGCATAGGGCACGCGACTGAATAGGTCACGTGGCCAAAAAGCCCGGTAATATCCCACAATGCGTTAGCTCGCACACATTTAAAGATGGCGGAGAGGTTTGTAGGTATGTGTTAACATATTATTTTGGGCTTAATCTTGAAATATTAGTTAGACGGAAGTTCAAAGTTCCAACAGACGACAAGTGTTTGTTACTGGACAGATACTAGAAGTAGTTTTAGATTGACTCTTTGTCATTTTGTGCAGTAATCTACGATCCAAATATTGCATGGGTTTCCGCACTTGGCTATGTACGCGGCATGGCTTGCTAGTTGACCTAGGAGTACGTTTAAGTCACAACTTGGTACGTGTAAGTCAATGGTCCTATTCAGTAAGACTTTTAACACTTATGTACTAAGCTACAGCCATAAAAGTGCAAAATAGAAAATATATTTATATTGACTGTATGTTGTGACACGTGACTGTAGCTTGGGGAGAGACTGCTGGTAAATACATTTCAAAATAATCAGGTGTCATTATAAGCCTTGTCAGTTGTTTGATATGTAAATCATTCTTTTCAGAGTGTAAAAAATAGAGAGATCAAAAAGAAGAAGACCGGAGTTTACTCAAATTGTTCTTTTGTGCAATATAAAAAAAATTCATAAGTAGGCCTAAATAAATAAATAAACTTATATCGTCACCTAACTGGTTTGGACCTTGTATGTTGAGCACATCAGACACTGCTCACTCAAAGACACTGCTCGCTCACATTGTAAATTTATGTATCCTTTCCATGATGTTTGAAAGCACACAAAGTAGAATTTAAAATGCGTTGTAAGTGCATGGATTGCTTCCTGTTGAACAATTTGTGTGACTACTTTTACATTTAATACAGACATCTTATTGATGTGATTGACTTCATTAAAGGGGTAAAACCCTTTATTTTAACAGGGAGAGTGCCATTTAACAGATTTTCCTGGGGTAAAGGACAATTTTACCATAATTAATGGTTGACAAATCCATTCCAACATTCACATTTTTTTCTAGCACAGATTTTAGAATAATTGCCATAAAAAATTGTTAGTTTCCATCTGGGTCTATGGCTTTATACATATTACTATGGCTGTATTACATTATTACAGGGTCTTTTGATGAACTATACTGCATATTAACATGGCAGCAACGTGTTCTTGACAATCCCCAGCTCATACAGAACATACTGTATGTATAAAATTCTGTATATAAACAGATAATAGCTTGTGTGATCAAACACTGGGGTTGTGGCAACTGATTTTATGTTGGGATACTTAATTTATGGCTGGAGTTGTTAACTTGGGCAGCTTTGCTCACGAATTAGAGGGTCAAGCTAAAATACTTAATCCTTTTTTTAAGACCTACCTATGCTTGACCTTAAAGAAAAAATTAATTATAAAGAAATGTATAAACTTATTCATGACATATCTTGGCCATTATTATTCTTATGTGCATTACTAGTAAATATAACTTAAAAAAAGGCTTTCTTTTGATGCTTTATCATTCTATGATTAGAGGAAAATTATTAATTGAATTTTCATCTTCAAAATACAAAACGCTGAAAAAAATTAATAAGAAAGAAAAAAGAAAAGAAAAAGACGTATACAGAAAGAAACTTCTTTAAACCAGGCCTTGTCACCATAAGGAAAGTTTGTTTTTTTTACAATTTTTTGCACAAGGACAATACATTAGAATGAATATCTATGTAATTCTTAGAATTTAAAGCCTGCCAGGCTGCCAATATTCTCTGCTGCTGTCCATTATTATTCATTTCTTATTTTGATCCATAATCACATTTTTTGTCAAATGTTTGTAACCAAATCAAGGTTAGAGTTATAAAACAAATTTGATACTTAACTGCAACCTGATTTAGCTATCAATGTTACTCTGTCTTTTGCTTGACTTGTCTCTTGCTTGACTGAAAGTGTGAGAGTGTTTTTTGTTCTCTTCCTACTTTCTGTATTTCTGTTGAGCAGCTAAATTCAAGTTTCCTAAATGCTTCATTCATTCAGTTAAGACAGCCCCATTACAACTATTATTAGAATTAGTATAAATAATTTAAAAATGTAACACAATAATAATAATAATAATAATAATTTATTTAATTGTACTATCAGTGTGGCGCTGGTGCTACGCATGGTTTTAGTCCCAACTGGTATATGAGTTTTTTTTATGGACTATGAATTTCGGCCAGAACAATTTGTGACCTTGAAATTGACCTTTGACCTACTTTTCACCATGAATTGAACTTTGCAACTTTTCCAACTCTTATATTTCCAAAACTGGCAGAGATACGCCCGTAATTACTATTTAACTTGAATAAGACCTCATAAAAATGGGGAATCTAACAGTGACCTTGAAATTGAAATTTAACCTACTTTTCACCATGAACTGAACTTTGCAACTTTTAAGTCCCTTATATCTCTAAAACTGGCAGATACGCCCAAAGTTACCACTGAACTTCAATAGGAAGTCATAGGTTGACAGTCTAATTGTGACCTTGAACTTGACCCTTGACCTGCTTTTCACCATGAACTGAACTTTGCAACTTTTTCTGCTCCTTGTAACTCCAAAACTGGCAGAGAAGCCCAAACTTACTATTGAACTTGAATAGGAAGTCGTATATGGTCAATCTGACCTTGAAATTGACCTTTGACCTACTTTTTGCCATGAACCTCACTTTACTAATTTGGATCAGAACTCTAACTTTTCCCCTTGATTATGTTATTAACTGGAATTTTCAACAAAAAAGTTGAGAACTCTTGTTTACTGCATTTTGTAGAGCTTGTCAAGCACAACATTGGAGGTGGTGTCCCTTGTTTTTTGTTTTCCATATGAATGCTTAACCCAGCTGGTGGTACAATACCCAGAAGTGGTATCACCTCTCTGGTCCTCGAGTTTATTGCCATGTTTAGACATTAAGGGTATAAAACTGTATATGATCTGTCGATAAAATTTGATTTAAAACAATCAAATGTGCTCATTAAAAATGTGTGTTGATGATAAGTAAAAACCAATTTTTGTTCATGTTGAAGTTGCTTTTAGAGACTGAAACGAAGACATAGGAATAAACAAACTGTTCACTACAATGTAGTGAGAATTCCTTTATTTGCACTGTAGAACTACCATACCAGATGGTGGAAGAGTGTCAATTCACTCCTAGTCACCACCCTGTAAAATTTTACCAACAGTGTCTGGTTTACATGGAATGACCTCAAGTGCCATAGGAAAAAGTCTTTGCTGAGTCTTACAAACAATTTTGTCTATGTTGATGTGCCTTTTAAAGGGATAATAACTCTTCGTATGAGCTCTATATTTCACAATAAAAACATTGTGAACAACTTATAGAAATATAATATACTCTGTTGTACCACAAAAATGGCAGTTATAGCTACTATTCTGATATCTGAGCTTGTCTTTAGACCACGTGACCTCCATTGATGGCTATACTCTGTTATAATCTTTTAAGGTATTATAACAAAAAAAAAAAAAAAAAAAGGGGGACTAACTTTGAATATAGAAATGGATTCATTAACCAATGGTAAGTATGGGGAAATTGTTGTGACTCCAGGAAAATTAATTGTTTGGCCAAAACGAAGAGTTATTATCCCTTTAAGATCATCAGAGATATGTCTGCCAGGAATTTTAAAATCTCTAACTAAATATAATATTATGAACATTTTGCTTCAAACTGAATTATATTTAAACTATGGTCCAACATACGGTTGTCTGTATTTAAATTAATTATTGCATTGTACCGTCAGTTTACTTTTTGACCAGTAGGATGCACTAGTACAAAATTTTTGTATTGCACTCTCCATCCTCAAAGGGAATGCAACCTGTTCATTTACTAAATTATATTTACACGTGTCATATTACGTGTCACATTAGGCGTGATGTCATAATTCAACTTATGGCATAAAAACTGAAAAATATGTTTCTCAAATTTCTATTTTACCTGAGCACCCACAATCACCATTTCAACGGCAATTTAATGAAATTATTTAGTACTCCAAAACCCTGCCAATGATTTTTCTTTAAAGTCTTAGTTCAGATTTCATTGTTGGTAAAGCAAATAAATGTCTTTGTTTAATGGAAATCTGTAATTAGGGGCTCATAACTCCATAACAAAAACATTAAAACCAAAATGATGGCGGGGGATTGAAGCCCATACACTCCTGGTCAACTCTGCCAATTTTTGTGATAAAATCTTGTTCAGGGATGAAGTTACACCCCATACCGGTTGCTATCTCACCTCAAAATAGAAAGATGTTAAATTGACGATTAAAGCCTATATGCTTACATATAGCAATGAAAAAATATAACAATATTTTATATTTTCAAGGGGCTTTTTGTTAATTTAAATCAGCACAAAGATAGATGCATTATTGAATGTAATTAGATGCCTGCAGGAAAAAACTCATTTTCGGTATCTGAATGATAATAAAGGGTTACAGAAACCTTAGACTGGAAAATTTTTCCTATATGTGGTGAGTTGGACAGCCAACAGGAGCAGTGAAATTGATGCCTTCTTGTTTCCTTGACTGTTAAATATCACAGGAAGGCTAGAAGAGTGTGAGTGAGTCCTGCTAAGCAACCGAGCCAGTCCCTTCAAAAATGTCAAGGTCAAATAGGCCTTATATCCGGCAATATTTGTCTTTCTTTTAGTTAAAATCAGCAGGTTTCTTGATGGAGGTTACCATCTCTCTGTGAATTGATGTGTAATGACCCCTTGTTTGTTGCATTTTGTGCAGCTTGTTTAATGCAGTACTGGATGTGGTGTCCATTTTTAATTAATGTGTCATTTTGATTGCATTATTGCTTCTATTGCCAGATTTGTTGGTGTATATAACATGTTGTTTACCCAAACACTATCCCTATTTCTACTATAAATTTTCTGAGCTACTAATATGCATGAGCTTTTTTCTTTTTATGAGCCTAATCTAGCTGGTGGTACATACCTAGGAGGAAGTTTTAGGTCTCTGAGTCTCACATTAAAAATATGTTATAAAATAGGATACATTATTTTACTATAACTTATGATTATTATTATTTTATTTTTATTATTATAATTTATTTATTTATTATTATTATTATTATTATTATTATTATTATTATTATTATTATTATTACTTTTGCCAAACTGAATAAGTAATGGTAATTTAATAAAACTGGCCAAAAGCTAAACAGAAATCATTTTGTTTTGATTAGGGTATAGACAGGACTACTGAATGATTGCAGGGGATTTTTTAAAGCTGAAGTACTGTATCAATTGACAATTAAGATATTGGAACTTTTCATCATGGATAGCAGCAAGAAACCAGGGAATGGAACACAAATGGTTTCATTTGGTTCCACAAGCCAGGATCCATTGGATATCATGTTAAGATATCTGGATAAAGCTGAGCAAGAGGAAAGACAGAGTGCAAAAAAGGAGTCCAAAACATCACCTATTGTTGGGGATCATTATGGTGGAAAAGTTTCTGTACCAGTAACAAAGGTT